ATCTTGTGAGTTAGTAATAACAATTAGAAATTTTCAACCTATGTATTTATTCATATTTTTTATTAGAACAATGGCAAAACGTTCAAACACGAGTGAGTCTCATGACACAAGTAGTAGTGAAGATGAGCTCCAGATAGACGTTTATACAGATATGCTAGAAAGACTAACTGTAGAAGGTTTTCTTCTACAGTTAGTCTATCGTTTTGGTAGCAGCGATAGTGATATCGTCCAAGCAACAAGGCGACGAGAGAAAGAGTTCGCATAGATAGCGATTACAACAACGAAACAAAATTATAAAACAAACAATAACAAAATTATAAAAAATAAAATATTGATTCTTTTGCAAATTTCTCGATTTCAGCCAAATTCATATAAGTCCAATATCATTATAACATGTTAGTTAGTTCCAAAACCGTACTAAATAATACGAGGGTCTGTAAATGCCCTTTTCTGCCGAAAAGTGGCGCTGAGTAGCTGGTAGCCAACATCCAGAATGGTTCGGAGTGCTAAGGGTTAATGTAAAGATTTCCTTAGCGTACAAAAATATCGTGAAACAGCGAAGATTCTCTTCGCGTACGAACTCGCTTCGCATACAAACAAAACTGCAAAACTACAAATTTGATAAACGCGAGCATCCAACAGAATCCATCGATTAACTCTCGGCGAGAAGACGATGGAATAATAAATCCGAGCTTCTGGGCTAAGCAAACAAAGTATGTCCGAGGATTCTTGACACGCGGATGCAGAAAACGGAAGCTTTGATCCCGTATAACGAATGCGGTAACGCTAGTAGAACGCAGGAGCGTAACGTACCTACATAAATCCGTGTCCGAAACAGTGAGGTCGACCTGCATTTTTCATCTGCAGCATTATTCGAAGCAAAATAATGTTACCTTTCACGGTGCTGCGCCGATAACGCCCGCTGTCGTAATAGCCGCGCTCGATGGGCCGGAACGCCATGGATGGACCATGAACGTTGTTACGGCGTAGCCTGGCGATCGTGATGCTTCGGTCGAACCCTTATCCGCGATAGGCGAATGCTCGTTGACAACTTAATATGCAATGTGATAAATTAGTCAGACCGACGCGGGGAAGAGAATGTAATTTTAAATGCGATTTCTCCGTCACGGATTTGATACGTTTACAACGTTTTATCTCTCGAACCTCGACACGGAAATACGTTGATAAATATCTGACGAGATTCTAAATTTTGAAATATTACATGAAATATTAATTCTCTTTGAATAATAACAGAAATAATGACAGAAATTTAACAGATCTCCTAATAAAGCGAAGAAATTATACATCGATTCCATTTTTTATGGACGAGTTGATACAAAAATTTATATTCGCGCAGAGATCCGTAATCTAGTGATTATTTATACAACATGGATGAGAAACATTTACGCAAATTTTTTGCAAAGAAAGAATTTCCGTTAACCCTGTATTCGAATTTTTTATATGGGTATATAAAATCTAGAAAAACATCAATCTCGAGATGTAAAAATAACAAATTCACGATTTTTTAAAAAAAATTGAGTTTACTTTGATGTATGAAGTGAAAGTTAAAATTGTATAAGTCTGTAGCGGACTTCAAAGCTACATGGAGCCATGATGGGTTAATTTATTTTATGGATGAGTTTAATAATATAAAGAAAAGTGAAACTATCCGAAGTATTATTAGTATTATTAGTATTACTACTATCCGAAGTATTATTATTAAATATCGTATACTAATCATTTTTGTCTGCAATCCAGGTGCATTTAGAATTATCTGTTTGCGTTGTTAACGATGATTAACGACCAATCGTGCCTCTGCTAGTGTTTGCGTGTTAATGACGGCATAGTTTGGCGAAGAAATTCGTCACCAATTCGAACGAAAGCAATTGGGCGTTGTCGCTATAATTGCAAATGATGCCACTGATTGGAACTTCGTCGATCCGACTTTCGAGCATCATCGACACCGACGGTTGCACACTTTTACAAGCGCTGCGATGGACGGAAATCATGCGAAAATAAATGGTTAATTAACTGCGTTCGGCTTTTCGAGTCGATCACGATTTACATTTATCGTCGACGAAATCGTTTTCTAATCGATTCAATCATTATAATTACTTTTCGTCAAGACAACAAACTAAAATTGGATAAATTGTTTTCGTTTAATTTAAACGTCCGTGTAACTTTCCGGGACAGCTTGTCACGGGTTTTAATTTAAGTCTCACTATTTCATGCTGCAGTAACAGCGGATGTAGTTTAAGTGGTTATAATAATTTCAACGCGAATGTAATAAAAGACAAATTAAGCTTTCCGCTGCGTTCGCGTCATAAATCTGTTAGCTAGTTTTACGATTCATCTTCGTTCCTACCACGAAACGAATTTCACAGCATTTTATCGAGTCTCCTTTATTTATGAATATTACATGTAACAACGTAAAATATGTATAATGGATAATTTACAGTATGCTTGGTTCGTCAAGGGTGACCGGGGTGCTTTTGTCACCCTTGATCATTGCACTCGCAGATTTTATGCATTTATGGTAAGATAACATTTGGGTGTAAGAATATTGATATGTTAGAGTAGAGACTCTCTTAGGTTTATTTCTGTAATATCCTGATAGCGAAATATTCCATTATCTAAAAATTTCATTCAAGTTCTCTACCAGACGATAATGTATCTAAATAGTGGAATGATTAGATAAATAGAACGTTTGGATATCGGAATATTGTAAAAATAAATGTTCGGATAAGAGAGTCTCTACTAGTATTCTCGACGGAAATAATTAAGGTTAAACATAAATATCCGCTGTCTACTGACCACGCATTGTTTGTTACAAAATCCACATGTTTCATAAAAACATTGAAACTGCAAGATTTATTACAACGAAAGAATTTACACT